AAAGAAAGAAAATCAAACAAATATGTAATACATTACCGAGTAATTTTATTTTGTTGTTTCCGTATTTTTTTTCTCTTAAATGCCACCGGTATGATATATCCGAATAATATTGGTTACAAACAACACAGTGACATGTTGATCCATTGATAGCCATATTTAAAATAAAATGACCTCCGAATGACTCCTACACGTTTCTCACACGATTCTTGCACGAAAGTCGCACGTTTCTCACACGGTTCTTACACGAAAGTCGCACGTTTCTCACACGCTTCTCGCACGCTCGCTACACGGTTTGCACGAAACGCTTTGGAGCTTACACGAAACGCTGCACGGTTTACACGAAACGCTACACGGTTTGCACGAAACGCTGCACGGTTTACACGAAACGCTACACGGTTTGCACGAAACGAAAAGCGCACGAAAGTTACACGCTTTTTTGGGGTAGTAGCACGTTTCAGGGTCTGTAGTTCGAGGGGCTGGATTACATCCTGAATCCCATACTAGACCTCCATCTTTTTATAAGAGGGTGTCTGGAAGGGACCGTTTGACTGTCAAAAGGAGATGAGTTTACAAGACCGGTATCCTATTTAGCTAGCCTGGTAAAAATTGGAAAGAGAAAACGTTTAATACTGTTATAATAGTACATAGTTTGAGGGGATGGATTACATCCTGAATCCAATATTTAGACCTCCATCTTTTTAGAGGGAAAGCGTCTGGTAAGGACCGTTTGACTCTCAATAGGAATTGAGTTTACGACCCCGATAACTTATTTAGCTAACCCGGTCAAAATTGTGAAAAAACGCATGTAATACTGTTATAATAGTACATAGTTCGAGGGGCTGGCTAATATTCAAATCCTACAATGAGACCTCCGTCTTTTTACAGGAGAGGGAACTTGGAAGGGCCGATTAACTCTGAAAAGGAATTTAGTGTTCAAGACCGGCAACCTATTAAGCTAGCCAGGTAAAAATGGGGAAAACCCCGTATAATTCTGTTATGAGAGTACAAAGTTTCAGGGGCTAGTTAACATCCTTAATCCTAGATTGAGACCTTCTTCTCTTGAATGGGGAAGGGTCTTGGAGGGACCGTTTGGCCCTCAAAAGGAATTGGCTTTACAAGACCTATTTACCTAGTAACCTATTTCCCTAGCCAAGTCAAATTTACGAAATACGTATATACGCAGGTATGTTAAGGCAGTACCCAGATCATATTTCGGCGAATTTATACTTTTTTTGTAAAATGTAACATTGATAAATCGGAAAAACCATAGATAAAACATTTACTATAATTATTCATTGTATAGACGTCATTGAGTCTTAGGCTAAAAGAAGCACTCCACTACGACGTCATCACGTGACGTCTATAAATAGAAAAACTGCCTTAATGAAAAAGTGAAAAGTTCAACACTACCCCGGAGATAACTCATTTCTTTTAGTGAAAATAATTATGTTAAAACATCACTGGGCCATGAAAAGTGCTGCTAGAATCCTACTCTCCTGACACAGAAAAAAATATTCCAAAGTTTCGCATGAAACCTTTCCAAAATTTTTACATTTTATACATACGATCAAGGAATTTTTATCAATTCATGTTAACCACAAGATTCTAGCAGCACTTTCCAAGTACTATAGAATACAAGCTTTCGATACAAACAAAACTTATATTTCAAAGTATGCGGCGTAGTGTTGAACTTTTGCATCTTTGTTGTTATAGAACGACAGAGGAACGGCTGATCGGGATTTCAAAGCACTGACTATGTTCATTATAAGAAAACATGATAAGAATATATCAGCGTACCTGATTCTTAATCTTTAATTCCTTTTGAATCACACATAACATTCATGGTATATGCCTTAAAACACCCATTTCATATATTTGTTTACATGAATTCTCATTTCACTCGGCAAATATTTGATCAATAGTTATGACGTCATGGGTTTGGTATTTAACCCCCGTGCTAAATAACTAGCTATTTATACCACCCAAAAACGACAAGATTTAGTTTATGTTATGTTTTGAATGATTCCATTCTTTTCTTGGACCTGAAATTAAACTTTAAAGATAGATATTAAGAAATCATTATTTCTATAGTTCACGTCATACAGCTTACTATGACGTCATATTGTGAAGGCAAGTAGGCTATTTCTGGGTGTAGCCTTAACATACCCGCGTAATGCTGTTATAAGAGTATAAAGTTCGAGGGTCTGGCTTACATCAGGAATCCATTATTTAGACCTCCATGTTTTTACAGGAGAAAAAGTCTGGAGGGACCGTTTTAAACTATTAAGCTAGCCTGGTAAAAATTGAGAAAAAGCATATAATACTGTTATAAGAGTACATAGTTCGAGGGGCTGGCTTACATCCTGAATCCATTATTTAGACCTCCATCTCTTCAGAGGGGAGGCGTCTGGTAGGGTTCGTTTGACTCTCAATAGGAATTGAGTTTACGACACCGATAACTTATTTAGCTAGCCCGGTCAAAATTGTGAAAAAACGCAAGTAATACTGTTATTTAAGGAGGAGTACATAGTTCGAAGGGGCTGGCTTACATCCTGAATTCCATATAAAAAATTCATTTTTTGACAGGGGAGGGGTCTTGGAGGGGCCGTTTAACTGTTAAAAGGAATTGAGTTTACAAGACTGGTAACCTATTTATCTAACCCGGTCAATATTGGAAAAACGCATATAATACTTTAATAAGAGTTCATAGTTAGGTGGACTGGCTAACTTCCTGAATATCATATTTGGACTTCCATCTTTCTTTAAGGAGTAAAAGTAAATGTCTCAATAATTTCCGAACGACCCTCGTATTGAGTACACTTCTCACAAATTTTGAACTTTAATATTGCCAATAAATAAACCTTGCAATTTTTAACGTTCACTAAGTATATTTTCTAGAGTAAAAAGCAAAATACATCAGAACTTAAAGTTTTTGCATTCATATCAGATTCACATAAAATATTAACCAATTAGCTGTAAAACAACAACAAAAACAAGATAAACATTGTGTTGTTATTTACACATTCAACTATGGGGACATTGTTTCTTAATGAATACAATGTTTGAATAATATGTTAATAAAAAAAAATCATTGAAAAACGTGAAAGATTCCAGAACAATTTTTGACATACTCATAAATTTTCTAAAAATACATTATAAACGGAAATAATTGCATTATTTTTCATAAGAGAATTGTGGAAGTCCATGCTACATGTAATTATGTATAGTAGAGTATATAAAAATTAGTAATAAGGCATTTCAAAATGCCTAAAAGACTATTTTCCACGATTGTAAAGCTTCTCATATCATATACAATGTTTATTTTTGGTGACATAATTTGAATCCATCAAAGAAAAAATTATTTGATCTTAAATTAAATGAAATGTTTGTTTCGAAGAAAAAAAAATATTCTTTTCAATCGTTACGCAACTCCAGGTGTACTTGTAAGTAGAGGAATAATACTTTTTCTATCCCCAAACCTTATGAAATAGACTCAAAGCAGATATATGTAATAGTTTAGAATGTTTTAGAAATATTCAAACATAAACAAAGACTCAACATTATGCATACAAGACTGAACAACCTGTATCTAAAGATGCAGTTTTTTCTCTCTCAATGTATCCTATGAATTTGGTGCAACAAAATAAAACTGGCTTATTTTCCACCAAAATGTAATTCAAAAAGGAAAAAAATGGTAAATACATCAGGAAAGGATAACAACTATCATAATTAAAACACAAAAGGCTTAAAACACACTTCCTTCTCATTGCTTTATTATTGATGGGTAAAATACTTTTGTCGATAAATACTCGTCTGTACATCCTGTTAGATATTCAAAAACTTGCAATAGTTTAGATAATTATTGCTTTACAATTACGCAATCTTTGCAATAAAATAAGTGTATGAGAGGAAGCGTGCCCGTTCAAAAATAAATACATAATTCATTGGAAATAGTTTGCAAATCTATTCTTTACAATGTTGAAATACTCGTATTTAGAAAAAGAAACAACTATACATGTTCATGTTTCTATGTACCTGTAAGATTGATTGATTGATTGTATGTTATTTTACGTCCCGTTCGAGAATTTTTCACTCATAGAGAGACGTCACCACATACCGGTGAAGGGCTTCAAATTTAAATCTTTACTCGGCATTCAGGGTCATTGAGCAGTGATGATTCTTTATCGTGCCAACGCCTAACCTGACACAGGGCCTCGGTTTTTAAGTTCTCATCCGAAAGACCCGCACCTTTCACTTCAAAATGCTGGGCGCTTATTTTTATTGACAGGTCAGTCGTGATTCGAACACACGACCTCCCGATCACGGAGCGAGTGCTCTACCGACTGAGCTACCGTGACGGTTTGTACCTGTCAGAAGCGTAAGACTAGGGAGAAAATGACTTTAAAATGCCATAAGCCACCCCCAACCTCCCCTAACCCAACCCCACCCCACCCCCCAAAAAACAATAAAGATTTTGATAAATATATATATACATTTTTAAAAATATAAATATGTCTTGTGTTCTAATATTCCCTAACAAAAATTTACTATAGTTAACTATAGTTAAGTATCGTTTAACATATTTTATTATTAGTAAGTACTTTGATATTTTGATTTCTATGAAACTTTTTAAATTCTCTTAAGTTCGATAACAGTGTAAAATCTGGAAATAATATATGGATATACATGTACATGTAATAGTTTCATTGAAAAAAAATGTGCAGGTATGCATCGGAGACATAAAGCACACTAATCTGAAATGCATAGTTAACATACGTTGATTTACAATACTTAAAACTTTAATACTATTGTTAATTATAGTAAACTATAACTAACTGTAAGAGATTTTTTTGCTAGGGTTCAACCAAATACAATTATTGTATGGACTTGTTCACTTTCAGACCAGTTCAAAGTGTTCATCGCAGTCTTCTTATAATCAATTGTAAATGTCCAAATAGTAAAGAGAAACATGAAGGATTCCTTTTTTGTGAACTGAATTATCAGTGTTCCACTTCGTCACATAGTGTCACTGTGGAAACATCAACAGCTTCAACTATGACATCCATTTCTGAAGATGGTAGAGCCTTCGCTAAGGTGTATGTATCTCCTCTCTGGTCATTCTCTGTGTGTCGTGCTAAGTCGTACACCTTATTCATCGGCGTCAAGTCAGTGTTATCATTTAGATGATTGTACGTCTGCTCGATGCTTGAGTATGGATAATCATTGAATTCAATTTCTTTTCGAATTGCTGGTATTTGAGACGATGATTCGCCTACGACACTTTTGGAATGATCGTACATATTTTGAAGTGCTAAATTGCTTTCAGTCTGCATAAAAGGCGTATTGCTATGTCCACTGAATATGATTTACAGATTATCTATTATTACTTAGTACAGTTTTGTGAGAAAAACGTTGTAAAATTCAGATTAAACTTACATAAAATGCATTAAGTCAAAAATATTTAACAGATGTACAAAAATGCTACATTTTGCAACACATTTCATTTAAGATGTGTTTTCCACAATTTTAAAATATGCAAACAATCATATATATATCTTCACTTACGTTTTCATCGAACGCCTCCAAAATTTCTTGAAAATAACAAAAGCACAAACTGAAGAGGTTAAGCCAAGAAAATACCCAATAACTCCAGCGATGGTGGAGAAACCTTTAACTAATAATTGTCTTTATTTATTTATTAAATTAATAATGAAGGGAAAAGATTCATTGTTTTAAAATTCCTAAAAAATGATAAAGTGTAAGTGAATACAAAACTTTTACCTTTTTGTGTCTTTTCGTTTTCTTTACTCGTGTCTTCCAAAATAAATTTAATAATGTAAAGTTTAATGAAAACTGTATGCTTTTTAAAGTAAAACAGAGTATGGGGAAATAGGTACAGCTCTGTATCAAAATCATGCAAAATAGGCATGCAGGTGATATATGAGGGTTCTCAGAATTTGATGATTATCCACACATATTTTTCTCTTACACTATGAACCATGTATGCAAAAAGAAAAATGTTTTGATTCACGGTTACCATGGAAACATGGGTAAAGAATTTCCCTAGCAACAAGCCAATTTTCAGCTTCAATGCACCAAAAATCTTTTATCTTTCAGGCTCAAATTAAATGTAAATACTTAAATAATTTCTTTTTCATTGCTGTTATTCTCAAGACAATTATTTAAGAGTTTTCACAATCAAAATATAAAAATAAGATTTAAAGATGTATCTGTGATAGATACGGGAATACGTGGGTTGTTAGAAAAGTTCGCGGACACATTGATTTACGGGAAATTTATTGAGTACTGTGAAGTATGATTTAGGTCTGATTAAATTCCTATCTTTTGTTTATTAGTATGTAAAAAATCAGGTCCATTTACTAAAATTTTGAAAATTTACAACAATTTTTACTCTGCGGTCATAGGATTCATTAAGGAGTCATTTATGACTCTAGCATTTTACTTTTCTCTTTTTATTCACCAAAGCATACATTTTTGTTGCTAGACAACGGATAGGAATGTTAAAAAATTATACTCTTCTGAAATCAAATCCTAAAAGAAGAAATTCTCTGCTTTTATGTTATATACACACGTTGTCTCTACATGTATGAGGTCCATCACTTGAATAATTAGACATTGAATAATTCCAATATCAAGGAAAATGATGAGTCAGCAAAAAAGGAAAAGCATGCATATATTCCCATATTTATCACAGATATATCTTTAATACTAATTTCTTTTCTTTTCTTTTTTTTTTTTTTTTTTTTTTTTTTTTTTTTTTTTTTTTTTTTGATTGTGAAAACTTTTAAGATCATTGTTTTGAGAATAACAGCAATGAAAAAGAAATTATTTTAGTATTTACATTTAATTTGAGCTTTAAAGATTAGAGATATTTGGTCCATCGAAGCTGAAAATTGGCTTGTTGCTAGGGAAATTTCTTTACCTATGTTTCCATGGTAACCGTGAATCAAAATATTTTTCTTTTTGCATATATGGTTCATAGTGCAAGAGAACACTATGTGTGGAAAATCATCAAATTCTGAGAACTCTCATATATCACCCTTTGCATGATTTTTACACGGAACTGTACTTAAATCAGAATTGCGCGAGTATGCTCTCAATATTTTAAAATGAATTACAAGGAAGGGGCTTCACTAAGTTAATTTAAGTAAAAATACAAAAATTGCACACAAGTGCAAAAATTTCAATGACAGGTTTTTCGAACCTTGGACACATTCTCTTCCCCTCATTAGATATCCCTCTATACAGAGACAGAGACCATCGACACATCGTGCAGCAGGATCTGCAACACTGCACTGCGAAGAGCGGAAACATTCCTGACAAACAGATAAATTGCCTAAAAAAGGCAATATTACTTATAACAAACGTCATTGATTCCTTGAGAAATCAAAAATTGTATTTGTATGATTTATTCAATTATACCTTGGAGGCAGTCTCCACTAAAAGTTGAAAAACCATCATAACAATGGCATTTTTTACTAGCTGTATAATCTAAACCTCCTGTATATTTACAGGTTCCAGCATTTTTTGTGCCAGTGCACTGCTCATCAATATCACAGCTCTCTCCAAGAAGCTTTGAACCTGTAAGATACAATGAAAGTAAGCTCGCAGATTTGAAACTTACTTGATAATATACACGATTGCTTAAGTTTCTCTTCATACTTATCCCAAACGCAGATCAAATTTTCAAGAGCTGCTCTTTTCCTAAAACATACAAAAGTCATATACACTCTCATAACAGAAAGTTTTCTACAAATTTTGTGAAATATCTAAGCATTTTTTAACGAGTTAATGGTATCAAGTGTTGTTATGTCAATTGTAAAGGAATTCACACGTATCAAATCTAATCACATTTTAGTTTGAGTATCTTTGCGTACAGGTTCTTTTGTAATATTGGTTTATTTACAATTTCCATGATTCACAGTCAAGGCAGTGTTTTCTGATATTCTTAGGAGTGCTTATGAACAGAAATATGTATTATTAATTTTATTGGAATATAAGTCAATTCCGCGAGAGAAAATAATGTTAGGGGCATGCGGTCAACAAAAGTGACAAGTCGTGCAAACAAAGTTTTAATTTATAAATCAATAAATGTAGTAAATGTAAACATAATACACAAAATACACCATCCTGAAACCAAGCACCTGTGGAAAAAAGAGGAACTAGCAATGGTGCATTAAAATGATTTTAATTACATCGATTATTTCTTTTACTTTCAAAATTTCGATATAATAGCTGTTAAACTTTGTCTTCAAAAATATGAGGAGTTTCGAGTGACCAACTTCACATAAAATATTTAAAAAAAAAAAAAAAAAAAAAAAAAAAAAACCACCTTCACATGAAAAAAGCACCATATTCTCACGAAATAACCACAAAAAGAAGCTATGGCATTCCGTATAAAACCATAAAGAATTGTCACTACTTCGGTAGTAAGTTATTCGTTTATACAATGTATTTGTCTTATAAAGGCCTATCGCAAAAACTACACGCGACCTGTCGAATCATTTTTTAAATTGTTTATCTGATTTGTCAACTAGAATTTTCTAGGTTCAATATTTGGTAAAATATGTAATGAGGTCTCGGATTGAAAATGTTTTCACTAATAAATATCAATTAATAGTTTGTCTTGAAATGCCAACGGCAATTTCTGAAACGCATGTTGGTTTGGGATAATCTAGACTCTATAGCCCAACGTTAACCATTTATATGACGTTTGTAATACCTATCGATGCAGGCTTCACGACATACACAATTTGTGTTTTGTATGGTGGTAAAATATTCAATATTATTATTAATACGTCCTGGTATTTGCATCTGATGTTATCTGTGTATGTTAAATCTCCTAGGCTCTTCCGACACGGCCACTCAGGAGAAAATAAAAAAAAAATATAGCCTACATATTTCTCGGGTGATCTCCCTTTGATAACATAGTGACCATGAGGACGAGGAGCCGGGAGTTGGAAAAAATAAATCCAAAACACAAATAAATTGGCTAGGGAGAAAAGAGTACACATCGTTTTTTTAAACAGTTCAGCATAATGATGAGATAAATATAGATCAGCTACTTGAATGAAAAGTCTTTGGTCAGGACTGAGGCACGTAGTACACACAAGTACAAAAAGTCGACATTAAATGCATCTGCATGCAGTCAAGTTTAGCGAGAGTTTATAGTACTTTTTATAATAAATAGAACATATACATTTCGAAACTTTTACAAAAGCAATATGGAATCTTTTTTTTTTCTCTATTAATGTGGGGTAAACACTGTGTTGGTCGGTGCTAAGAAATTTGAATCGAACGAAAAGTAAAAATGTTGATGTGGCCACAGTTCTCGAACAAAATAAAAATGCAATCTGTTTATTCATACTTCAGTTTTTAATGGAATAAATTTTCTCTTGTATGAAGGGTGTGGCCACAGCAAAAATTTGTACCAAAGATGAAAAAATGCTTTTGATAAAAAGTACCAAAGTACACGTGTTAAGCTGTTTTCTGTACAAATTTGACGTCATCACATAAAAAAAAAAAAAAACTCGGCATAAACTTTTTAGTTTTATACTTAAGGATAATATTTTTGTTGTTAATTTTCTTCTTTCCCTCAGTTTAATATTCCTGAAAAAATGGGCAGTTTAAGCTTCTCGTGGATTTTGCTCATCCTAATTTACTAGGTGCAGGTAAATGCAAAATTCACAAAATTTGCATTTACCTCCACCTAATTCAGAATTTACAACATGATAATATTTTCAGGGTTTGAATTGGGACCTCTTTGCGAAACTTGGAGCAGTACGAGAGTGGCCCCACGGCTGTCCAAAAATGGACGCAAAATTAAGAAAGCTAAAGAAAGTTAAACGATCTGTTCCCAATGTTTTTCGCCAAAATAAAAAAAAAAACATAAAAGTTTTAAAATTAGTATTTTGAGGTTTGTAGGTTGGTTTCGATTTGTCGTTTCTAGCCAAGGTTTTGCAGAGCAATTTCAGGACCGTCTCCAGCAGCCTACAGGCACATGATACAAGACGCACAGACCCCCATAAGTCTTTATCAGAATTTCTAGCTCGAGACTTACAATGTGTGTAAAATATGAATTAAAGAAAATAATTCCTATCATTCTTCTTACCGGACAAGCACTTTTGTTCCTTTAGGAGGTATCCATCTTGACAGAGGCAATATCCATCAACGCATCGATCCGCGTGTTTTGTACTGGAACACTGGGAAGAAAGGTAGCATTTATGTCCTACTGATAAATTACCTGGAATAGAACATAAAAAAACTATAAACAAACTATTCTCTAAAAGATACAGAAATATATTAACGATAAGCTTCCTCTGAGTCATGTGTACAGTAAAATATTTCTTATAATTAAAATGTACAAGTATATAAATATTTAGTATTTTGGCATATAATACATTTCAAATAATAATTTCAATCCATTTTTTTAATGTTACCTAGATCAGTTTTGAAACTTATGATTTCAAAATTAGTTATATCTCTATACCTGAAAGACACTGTCCTAGGACCTGTAGGAAGTTATCATCGCAATGACATTTTTTCTCTCGGTTAAAGGTTCTAGATGATACTGAATATTTACAATTTCCAGCATTTTTGGTTCCAGAACACTGTTCACTAAAGGAGCAACTTTCGCCAAGAAGCCTTTTACCTTCAATGTTCAAAATCTGAATGAAAAGGGTTTCCTCCCTCTAGTATTGCGTAATATTAGTCGATTTAGCATCATTTCCTCCTTTCGCTCAGGATATGTTCAAGACCATACGTAATTTTACTAATAATAAATTTTCCTATATAACAGAGCTTCCATTTTTTTATACAGCTACATAATGATGTTACTTTTAAACACTTAACATCAAAGTCATTCATCGAGCTGGTTAAAATGAAAGGAGATTTTAAACATGTAATTCACTGCTTATTATTTCTAGAAATACCAAACCTTCAATCTGATTCCTCTTGGAACTTTTTTTTAAATAAAAGTTTTCAGAATATTATATACTCCTGAAAACTTGCAAGGAAAGAATAAAATTCTTAGTGACATGATTTCATTATAACATGGTTTAAGGACTCTGAGGTACACACAACCAAGACACCTTTATTCTCTTGTAAGAGATCCTTGAAATGCTTCTCTTTCATTTATTTTTCTTTTTAAAAAAATCCACTGGTTTTCCATTAAACCTTGGAATCCGGATATGGCAAGGTAGTTCACTATCGCAATATATTTGTTTCTCTTTAATTAAGTCTTATAATGATACAGATCAATCTCCACAGATGTACCTGTTCTAGTTTCATCTTTATCAGTGCAATTTTTGATGCTTGAAAACTCGATAAATGCCTCATTTTCATTAAAAGACAGTTTGTTTGATATGTGAAAAAATATATATTCAAAATGATTGTTATAAATTAAAGTCATTTTATCCAATATCGCTTTGTTATTTAACATGCTTGCTGTAAGATTTAGCGTTCCCTTATATCGTGTTTTACTTTGATTTCATATTTTATAACCCCAAAATTGTTATTTTTAAATGTTTGTCAGATGGATTTGAGGAATATTTTATAAGCCTGTCGCATTGCTTATTGATTTCAAGATAATCACAGTTTAAACCTTTACTGCCGTTGATGGATGTTTCTTAAAACAGAATATTATTCACCATTTCAAGGGCAACAAAATATCATTGCGAGTAAAATGTTAATGTTATTGATGTATAGAAACATAAACTGAGATTTATACGGATAGAATAAAAGATTATTTGTTAGAAATGTACAAACCCTTTAAGCATGTTCCATTCACGAGTTCATAATTTTTCGAACAGAGGCATACTTTATTCTTTCCATTAAATGTACAAAGTCCAGCTCCTCTAGTAGCATTGCATTGCTCACTTACTGTGCATGTCATATTCAGGCCTTTATTTGCTATATATATATATATATATATATATATATATATATATATATATATATATATATATATATATATATATATATATATATATATATATATATATATATATATATATATATATATATTAGGGATGGCAACTTGTAACCGGTTAACCGATTACTCGGTCGGAACGATGGCAATCGATTAGAAAATCTGTAATCGGTTAATCGGTAAAAAAAATTGTTGAATTGAACACATTTTTTAAAAAAATTATTTAGAAAAAAAATCTCTGCACAAAGGATGATCATTTAGGATTTAACGGATCTAATTTGAACGTACATGTAATTATGAATCTCCAGACTGAGACCGTAGCGTAATTGGTCAGTTTATGTAGTGTTAATTACTGTGAAAACACCATGTCGTTATCCCTAGTTTGTTTTACTTCTTTAATGATAATAATTGAATCATTGAGTACTGTGAATTGGCGTGTTTGTCGTTTTTCAGTTTTCCATCCAATCCAATTATATATATATATATATATATATATATATATATATATATATATATATATATATATATATATATATATATATATATATATATATATATATATATATATATATATATATAAAACACATTGTAAATTAAGGGCTTTAGAGTTCACATGTAGTTTTGATTATCATAGTGAAAATGCAGAAAGAACTTTTGTGACATCTGCTCTGGAAAATTATCAAAAATTTCTTAGGCTCTTTTCATGGTTTTCTCAATTTTTTCTTGTCTACTGGAATTTAAATAAAAAAATATGTACCCATAGTCTTCTAATCCAGAATCAAGACTAATGGAATGTTTTAACTTCTATCGTCTTATTTGGGTCTATTTGTGTACATATGGACAGGGCTACTTGAAAAACAATTAATTGTCAAAAAAAAAAAAAAAAAAAAAAAAAAAAAAAAAAAAAAAAAAAAAAAAAAACAACGTGCATTTTGATACGATTAACCGGTTAATCGGTCGGAAGGTCTTGCGGTTAACCGATTAGCATTTCTGTAATCAATTGCCATCCCTAATATATATATTATGTTCATTAATATAACTCTGGAAAATTAGAAAAAAAAAAAAGGTATAAATTAAAAAAATATATATAGTAAGTATTTGAAATGAATTTATAATAATACAGACGTTTTCTGCACTTTCCATCGATAAGTATATATTCTTTAGAACACTGACAGGTTTTCTTCATTTCATTTAATCTACATCGACCTGCTCCTTCGGTGGCAATGCATTGCGCATCAATTGTACACGATTCATGGAGACCTTTGTGACCTAAAATAAGAAATGCCTTCAATAAATATTAAAAATGAAATAAAAGGATGTACAATTCAGTGCAGAACGCAAAAATCCATCGATAAAATAATATAGCTGTCATTGTAAATGCAATGCAGAGTTCGTTAAGACACCGCATAGCCTGTGATCCATCATATCTGATATAATATATCAGCATTTCAATTTCGAAGCGAAATAACATACGAACTGATTTTATTTGAAAGGAAAGGGGGAAAGATGCATTCTAATGCAACTTTTTTGTAAAAGGCAATTTGATCGACTAATGCCCTGTATGAAAGTTTTTAATTGTGACGTCATAATAGAACCACACAAAAACACAACCCCTCTTGACTTGTTTTATAGAATAAAACTTAATAAAATAAGAAAATAAAAGCATCTATTTTTCTGCTCATACGTCGCCGGTAAAACTCGGTTTGCGACCGGTAAATCAGCATTAACGGTCGCAAATAAAAGATGAGAAGAGAGTTATTCCCTAATTAACAGACAGATATGACTGTGCTCAGCAAATAACTTTACAGAATATACCTTACATTGTAGAAGCAATAGATAACGTAAATCTGTCTGAGTTAGATAACGTGTTAATGCAAATCGGGGTGCATTTAGCATTTTAGTTTGTCAATACATAGTTTTGTGCAATGCACAAGTTCTTGAATTTACCATTGCGCATACAACATATACTCGCTTTGTAAGCAGCCACTTACCTAGGTTTATTACATGCATACATTATTAATATAGAAAAATATCTATTGGAAACATTCTTAAGATATCAAACCAACATATGTAATACCATCGAAACACGTGTCCTTGTATCTGATTTTTCCCTCTCTGCAGTCACAAACTTGACCTTTGATAAACATACTACGATCTTTACAAACACAATGACCTTGTCCGCCATCGGTTAGAAACTGACACTCTGCTCTGTCATCGAGGCATGCTACATCTTTGGTACAGGCAATGAAAGATTCGCCTATAAATGGAATGGTAGTATAAATTTGATTTGAATAATATGTATTAGCAATGTCTTATACTTTCTAGGACTAGTACTGTAATTTACACAGTTTATCAAAGTCCTCTATTGATATCAGACTTCAAGTGATTTTTTTTCCAATAGTACAACTTTCTATTAGATAAGCTAAATATTTCCTTTAAAGTGAATTGTCTCCGATTACCAACCTGAGCGTATTGGAGAGCCACAAACAATATCCAATCTCATTTCGTTGATTTCATGTCCAGAACAACGATGCGTTTCAAGAGTGAATGTATATTTATCGCTTTTGATATGAAATGTCACAGAAATGTTGGTAACTTTAAAGTAAAAACTCTGATAAATATGCAAATCCGTTGAAAGTAACAGGCATTTATCGCTGCATGTTGATGAATTTCCTATATATGAAAAATAAAAATAAAAACTAGCATGATTACTGATTAAGCTATGAAATATGCCATATTTAGTTGGTTTCAGGCTAGTATATTTACCTTGCCTTTTGATCCCAATATCCATGAAGTCAAATTTACAACTTTCATTGCTCTGCGCAAAATTCAAGATGTCATAATAGCAATATAAACTACAATATGAGGAGAAGAGATTTACTATGTGTCAGTGTGTGCACAAAAATATTATTATAACATTCTTATTTGTTTTCATATCTCTTGAAAATATTACAATGCAATTTCAATATAATTTAGCTTACCCTTTATATTTATGTATCATCGCAGATATCGTTGATGTTAAAAGAAAATCTAAAAGATAGACTATAATAATTGGTGATTCTTTCACATGCCGTTTATTGACTCTGATATTATTTATAAACAATATTTTTCAATTCCAAATACTATGAACTTACATTTTACCACGGGGTCATATCTGTTCAATCCGCGATTAGAATATTACGAGGATTTCTTGAATTGTCATTGTATGTCCTTAATTAATTTTAAATACGCTGTAAAAAACCCCGAAAAAAATGTAACCGTCTACAGAACTTCCACAACTTGATTATTTGGAAGAATAAATGTCGTTGAATTCAAAATTTTATTTTTTCTTCCTTAAAGCACATGTATCTAATTAATGAACCAAAATATATTTTAACATTAAAAGATTGCCTTGTTGTTAACCTTGCGAAATTTTATGCTTTATTTGGTACATATATCTTAATAATTTACAACTGAAGCTTTTATCGACTTAAAAATCGATATCCAATTTAGTGAAAGTTTTAAAAACAGTTAAAAACTGTTATTCGCTGATTTTGCTATATTGAGATGGTTGAATACAATAGAAATCTGGAGGTTCACTTATGTTTCTTTAATGATGATGATGATGATGATGATGATGATGATAATAATAATAATAATAATAATAATAATAATAATAATAATAATAATAATAATAATAATAATTATTATTATTATTATCATCATCATCATCATCATCATCATCATCATCATTATTATACTAGATGCAAACTCAAATGCGAAGACACTATATATTTTTTTCCTAAATTACTTAAGGTTACTTAAGATTCTTTTAGAGTCACTTCCGGTTGTGACCGGAAGAGCTATAAACATACGGTTATTGCACATTTAGTATGTATGAAAGTTTCTATATAAAAATACTCAATTTAAGACTACTTCCGGTAAAAATTGTATGACTTTAAACATTCGTCAAGACTCTATGATAAACACCTACATTTGTTAAAAAATGGGGAAAAAATATTAACAATTTAATATTTTGAAACTACTTCCGGTGAAAAACGGAAGTGACGCCCGAAAAAATTACTCGTATTTCACATCTAAAAGTTAAGATCTATTATCCCTGAAAGTCTCATTGCTGAATCTTTAACTGTTTTTGAGAAAATGCCTGGACAAATTTGCATTTTAAAATCAGTAAATCGGCCATAACTCACGACCTGAAATGACATCGACAAAATGACCAATAATGGTTCATATCATATACCATCATTTCTGAATGTTCCATTAAAAATCTATTGAGGTTTTCTCGAGATATCGTCTGCACAAAATTGGAAGGAAATATAATAATAATCGTGAAAAAGAAACAATAGAATAATAATAAGATCTTCTGTTGAAGAAGGAAGACCTTAAATAGGTATTCTTCAATATATTTGTTGTGTCATGGGCTACGATATGGATTTTGTTCACAAAGCAACTTTTGAAGCCATTACATGAAAAAAGTTTGCCTCATGACCGTTCCATTTCATTCTTAATGATATCAAATGAATTTTGAATCGTCTCGATGGAAAATGTACTTTAATATGAATGTTTTCTTTTTCTTAAACACCTTAAACATCATATTAGATATAGGTGATTTTAAATAAATCACGCAGGTATGTTAAGGCAGTACCCAGATCATAATTCGGCGAATTTAGATTTTTTTCGTAAAATATAACATTGATGAATCGGAAAAGCCATAGATAAAACATTTACTATTATTATCCATTGTATAGACGTCATTGAGTCTTAGGCTAAAAGAAGCACTCCACTACGACGTCATCACGTGACGTCTATAAATAGAAAAATTGCCTTAATGAAAAAGTGAAAAGTTCAACACTATCCCGGAGCTAATTCATTTCTTTTAGTGAAAATAATTATGTAAAATCATCACTGGGCCACGAAAAGTGCTGCTAGAATCCTACTCTCCCGACACAGAAAAAAATATTCAAAAGTTTCGCATGAAACCTTACCGAAATTTTTACATTTTATACATACGATCAAGGAATTGCACATTCCAAATACTATTGAATACAAGCTTTCGATACAAACAAAAATTATGTTTCAAAGTATGCGGCGTAGTGTTGAACTTTTGCATCTTTGTTGACATAGAGCGACAGAGGAAAGGGTGATCGGGATTTCAAAGCACTGCTTGTGTTCATTATAAAAAACATGATAAGAATATATCAGCGTACTTGATTCTTCATCTTTAATTCCTTATGAATCACACATAACATTCACGGTATATGCTTTAAAACTCCCATTCTGTTTACATGAATTCTCGTAAGTTTAATTTCACTCGGCAAATATTTGATCAATAGTTATGACGTCATGGGTTTGGTATATAACTCCCGTGCTAAATAATTAGCTATTTATACCACCCAAAAAACGACAAGATTTAGTTTATATTATGTTTTGAATGATTCCATTCATTTCTTGGACCTTAAATTAAACTTTAAATATAGATATTAAGAAATCATTATTTCTAGAGTTCACGTCATACAGCTTACTATGACGTCATATTGTAAAGGCAAGTAGGATATCTCTGGGTGTAGCCTTAACATACCCGCGCAGTTATACACCTTTCGTAAGTTTACGGAAATTTACAAAGTTAATTTCGGCCTCTGTCATCAAGTTTACGATGGAATTCTTAATTTCATACATCACTCGAGTCCTTTTTAAATCGATTTTGGACTATGCTACTTATGTTATTATGTCACTTACGGCACTATGCTGAAAGTCATGAACAAATAATCCCTTTCAGAAATTTCATCAATTTTCATGATCCTAAATAAAATGTATAGTACTTTTTTCTAAAGTTTAATTTATATGCTTTATTGTTTGTATATAGATAGATTTCTTTTATAATTTTTGTTTGAAATACTAAATTTCAGTTAAATTCTAGAACACTGCCATTTTATTAAGCTCCTTCTCCCATGCACTCTATGTGGACGTTAATAAATGAAATGTCATCATTGTTTTATATCAATGTTTGAAATTTGACAAAGGACGACAACTCATTAGTTGGTCTGAATACAGGGTTAAAATAAATTTGCAGATAATCTTGCTCTTTCTACTTTTTTTATGAAAATTAACATAATCACGTAACATTTGACTAAACAAGTAATCAATGATGACTAATACTATACGTAACTGTTATTTCAGTACAGTACATGTACATGTATACCCAGGACGAGTTTTGACTTAAAAAGGTTCATGATTCAATAATACATTATTATCAATAAAACAGATATTTCAAAACTTTAGTTTGCAATGAAGTTATCTTTAAAAAAAATGCAGACATCAACTATCGTTCTGTACGTTGGAAAACTAAAATATGACACTCACTCTACTAAATTAAAAGTAAAATAAGCCAGGATAATTTTTTATCGTATGAATATATTTGTACTTACTTGGAAAGAAACTGAATTTAAATGTCATATTTGAGCCAAACCTTCTTCTGGTTTCTGTGAAAATTTTTTCTATGATTAAAATCTCGAAAAAGTTAGGTATCTCTGATAGCTCAATGTAGTGCTAAATATAAATTTCCGCTGTCACGTTGCATTTCCTTCCATTTGAAGTGGACAGTGACGCTAAAGATTTTTGTACTCAATTCGTTTCACTCAAACGAACATAAATCATTTACCATATAAAAGAAAGCATTATTTATAGGATAAGAGGTAAAGCACTCAGATTTATTCACACATAATTATACATAAAACACTCTGCTTTCTCTCTCAAAACTCTTTATGCCCCATCACTATCAATACTCATTTACCTTCATGTACTTCCATCCGTTTACATTCATCAAACTACAAAAAAAAATATAAACATCAATGCAATAAACAAATCAATTAATACAAATAATAATTTGTAATAATAGGTGGGTAGTGGGAATAACATTGAACTGGTTTAGAATCTGAGCATTCCAGTTGCACATTTACACAATACTCGCCCTTAAATAACATCTTTTTTCATGCGCACCTGTTACTATATAAATAGTTAAATCATTTTAAAAATCAGTCACCCGAACCAAAACAAACCCACGTATACAAATAATGCTTAGCACCCATGATAAACACATTTAAAGTATCCGTTTGTAACTTCAGTTATCTATTTGGTCTAAAACAGCAAAGGGTATACGTAATATTTTTGCTACGGAAACTGGATTGCATAAAAACATATAACAAAAAAGTATGAAGCATAACAAACCAGGATTTCATTAAAACTGTAGAACAGCTAGGAATGAGAATCATAACACTTCAGACGTGCATTTGATCTCTATAATTTGCAAAGATGAAAAAATGGAAACTGTAAGAGAAATGAAGAAAAGAAATGTAGATCTCTGCGATTTGATTATATCCTGATTGAACTTATTTCACGTTATCTATATTTATAAGTCAGTCTACTTAAATTGTTTCGATAAACTATTTCCAAGATGCGTGGACCTCTACAACGTATTTAGAAATACATTTCTGAAAATATTTTAAAACGTGCAATGTTTTATGAATCATTACAGCATTATTGTTAGATAATAGCATTTATGTAATCCTTGTGTTTTTGTTGGTAACTAGATATTGTTTTCTTAGATTAAAGTTCACAAACATGTTATATGTAATGTACATTTGGCATCTCTGGGGGAATTAGCCAAATCTTTGTATATCAGCCAATCAGAAGCATGTGTTTTTCACGTGACTCGGAATAGCGTAACTTGACTGATTTAGAAGGAAAACAAAAACATTCAGTTTATTTACACAAGAAATCAGCATGTTTTCCGTTTCTTTTTCATGGATTTCCTGACGTAGACCATCATTAAGTAACTTAGACTGGATTAGTTCATCCCCATATAGTGAAGTAAGTGCATATTTGTGAATTTTAAAGGAAAATTTCCAGGATTTGGCAGGCTCCGTCCAAACAGCCCACAACACAATGGAGGAAGGTATGAAGATTCATGTACGAATTATCGGACACTCTTACATTCGCCGTTTAGGGGAATTTGTCGCGGATAATGAACATTATGCCAATTTACAATTAGACAAATCACAGTATTTGGTGGATTTTCAAGCTAGAGGTGGACTGACTTTTCAACGTTTAGCACAGTGCGCGGAATTCACTAATTTCCCAAAACCTCCCCCTGCTGTGTGCTTTCTGCAGATGGGCGGCAACGATTTATGCCGGAGGCAACCTGACAAAGTGTTTACGGACATACTCTCATATGCCCAGTTTCTACGTGACGGCGTTGGACTTAAAAAGGTGATAGTGGGTCAATTGTTACGTCGGCAGCCATGGGCGACCAGACAAGGTTATAATGAAGACGTTGTGAGTGTCAACAGTAAATTGAGGAAAGAGACTGCTACCTTAAAGAACATTTATTTTTGGCAACATCGTGGATTTTGGACGGACCTGTCTTATCTTGGTCGTGATGGGGTGCACATATAAATGGGAAATCCAGACACATGAAAAAATACCTCCACAGTATTCGCATTGCAGTTCTTCACCATTCCAGATAGGCCAGTGTTTTAATTAAATTAATTATAGATCAGCTTATCTCTATTACATGTTAGAATACAAGTATTCATTATAGATTTCTTGGGCATTTGCACAAGGAAATTTGTATAAAAGTAATAGGGTGTAATTTAACTTTAAGAATTCAGACATATAGTTTCATTACAGTGTTGCAAAATTGAATATATTGAACATTGCACAACAGAGCCTATATGTCACTTTTTGTAGTGATGTTAATATAAATATTAAACAAAATACTGGTTACACACACAATAGTTTATATCACTTACAGTCACACACAGAGTAGTGTGCATTATTCAAGTCACACGCAGAGTAGTGTGCATTATTTTAATTACACGCAGAGTAGTGTGCATTATTCAAGTCACACGCAGAATAGTGTGCATTATTTAAGTCACACGCAGAGTAGTGTGCATAATTTAAGTCACACGCAGAGTAGTGTGCATAATTTAAGTCACGCGCAGAGTAGTGTGCATTATTTAAGTCACACGCAGAGTGGTGTGCATTATTTTAGTCACACGCAGAGTAGTGTGCATTATTCAAGTCACACGCAGAGTAGTGTACATTATTCAAGTCACACGCAGAGTAGTGTGCATTATTCAAGTCACACGCAGAGTAGTATGCATTATTTTAGTCACACACAGAGTAGTATGCATTATTTTAGTCACATGCATGGTAGTGTGCTTTAATTTTTGTTACATGCTGAGTAATGTGCAAATTTTAGTAGTCACATGCAGAGTAGCGTGCAAAGTTTGTTAACACAGTAGTTGGTATACATGTGGTATACATGTGGGTTTAGTCACTCACGAATGGTATCCATTAATTGTAGTCGTACACTAAAAGTAGTATGCTTCGGTGGTCGTCGCACTTGACATTGCCTATATTTGTATGTACAGAGTGCATAAGTTGAATCACTAGCAGAAAAGTGTACATAAATTCTGGTCTCATGCTTAAGTGTACAAAAATTTGAGTCAAGTAATTAATAACATATGTAGTCTATTTGTGCAGTCAGGTAGTAAATTTGTAGTCATACCTGCTCTCACAGTAGTATGCATGGGTTATTTGTCTTCAATTTGAGCTTAAGTAGCTGACAAATTGACAAAATTTATATAGAGAAATATATAAAGTTTGGTTAGAGATCAATATGGGACTTCACATACACTGAAATGAGAGGTTAAGTCCTGAGAATAAATAATATTTGTATGCCTTATCATTAATAAGGCACACTATCTGATAGCCTATATATATATCACATTTTAACACAGTATAGTTGTTTTGTAGGAGTCATGCCTAGAAGGAAGACATCAAAACAGACAGACGCCCAGAGTGTCGAAATGCAATCCACAACCCAAGCAAAACGTCGGAAGACCAATCAAGCTTCTGTGGCAGCAAAACCTGACCAAGTTGCCATTGACTACCAAAAACTTGCTTCAGAAATTCTCAGGCAACAGGGAATGCACCAATTCCAACCTTCAGTGAGCAATGACCCACAGCCTGTATATCCTCATAGTCAGTCATCCATTCCTAATACCGCATATAAAGGGAATACTCTTCCATGCAACTTACAAACTACTGGTGAACGAGGAAACCAGGATCAGACCACAGCATCAGAGACAATGGCACAATCCTCTACAACAGGGACAATGCAGTCACAGACTGCTTCATCAGAGACACAAGCTGCTACATCAGGGTCACAAGCTGAAACAACAGGGACAGTCTCACAACTAGTTTCTACGATTTTTGAAGGTGAGCCAGCAGGCACAGCTCCCAATAAAAACACGAGTAATTACATCTCAATCACTGACGGCATTCCTCTTGGTGCAACTGTACCCAGCAAAATTAAGTCCAAAATATGGTCAAATGAATTCGTAGATTTACATAGTCTTTTGACGCACCAAGAGGAAGACCCAGTAACCTTACTGATCACACCAGGTGTAATTAATTTACAACATACTCAAAAGTCAAAAACACCTTTGTCCATCAACCAATGGACAGACGCATTTCTCATTTTTACATGCATCATAATACAACAGAAACCTACTGAGGCTCCCCACCTGCTTAAGTACATGTCATTCATTAGGGAATTATAAAAGCTTCATGGAGATTCAGCATGGCGATCATATGATGAGTCTTTTGGAAAATTAAGGGAGACTGTAGACCTTCCCTGGCAAAAGCCAGTGGAAGAATTACGTGGAAAATCTTTGGCAATTTCCTCAAAACAATCTAATGGGCAGCCCTTTCGTGGGAAACAGGTGGGGAGAATCAGTGGGGTCAGATTCTGCTTCGCCTACAATCATGGCAACAAATGTAAGTCAACCCCTTGTCCATTCACACACATTTGTCAAACATGTAGGGGTCATCATCCCAAAAGCAAATGCAGATCTAATGACAAATCCGAACATGATAAGGCCTCTCCCAACCCCAGTAAAGGAAAACAAACTAAATGACCATTTAGTAGGTTATGATGATCAATTGAGAGAATACTTAGTAAAAGGATTCAGTTCTGGATTTTCCCTGGGATGTATAACCACTCCCATAGCGTCTTTGTCAAGAAATCATAATTCAGCAAAAAATCACCCAGAGATCATACAAGCTCACATACAAACGAGCCTTAAGCTCCAGCGTATTGCAGGACCTTTCAAAACCCTCCTTTTGATCCCTTTGTGTCATCCCCTCTAGGAGTTATACCAAAATCAGAACCTGGAAAATTTCGAATCATTCATGATCTTTCTTATCCAAAAACAAATTCGGTTAACACCCATATTCCAAAAGCAAATGCAGAAGTTCATTATGACTCGATTGATTGGATTATAAATTTAGTGCAAAATCATGGCCCTCGGTGTCTGATGGCAAAAACTGATATTGAAGACGCATTCCGAATCATTCCAATTTGTCCAGAGGATTATCATTTATTAGGGTTTTCTTGGCAATGTCAATATTACTTTGACAAATGTCTCCCCATGGGTGCAAGTAGTTCTTGCCAGATATTTGAAAAATTCAGTGTAGCTTTACAGTGGATACTACAATCAAAGTTTTGGGCAGGGGGAATGTCGCATATACTGGACGACTTCTTCTTTATTGGACCTGCGAACTCTTCAAACTGTAGGAATGACTTAACAAATTTTCTCTTTTTGTGCAAAAATATTGGAGTCCCTATCAAAATGTCCAAAACACAGACTCCAAACACAAAAATTATCATCTATGGTATTGAAATTGACTCATACAAAATGGAAGCACGGCTACCGGTCGACAAAATTGACAAGATTAAAAATCATCTGGTAGAACTTTTACAAAAAGATCAAACCACATTACGTGAACTTCAATCTCTGATTGGTTTACTCAATTTTGCTTGCTCAGAAGTGGTTCCAGGGCGTGCTTTCCTCCGACGTATGATTGATCTGACTTGTGGAGTAACTGAACCTGCATCGCACATACACTTAACCAGGGAAACAAAAGCAGATATGGAAACATGGCTATCTTTTATAAGCTACTTTAACGGAAAGTCAGTTTTTCTTCCTCAAAAGTGGATATCCACAGATCATCTTACTCTTTATACAGATGCATCAGTGTCATTGAGCTTTGCTGCAATTTTGGGTCATGATGGTTTGCTTCTCACTGGGATTTTTTGCAGAAAGATTGTCAAATTGCAGTCAAAGAGTTATTTCCCATTGTACTAGCCATAGAAATATGGGGGAGCAAAATTAACAATAAAAGAATCCTATTCATGTCTGATAAAACATAATGTCACTGCTGATCGCCTCTCCCGTTTTCAGTTTCAGGCAGCTTTCCAGTCTGCACCTCACTTAAACCACCAGCCAACACCAATCCCTCAAGTCAGCTTGACCATTTGAATTCATCAGCTTGCAATCTTCTTTCAAAGGCACTTTCAAAGAGTTCAATCACAGCCTACAAATTAAGATCATGGGACATGCTATTGGGCACATTTCCTTTCCTTAAATCCTTGCCTGTCTCCCCCCCCCCCCCTCCCTATGTTATGTAACTTTATTTCTGACTTATTTGACAATGGATATTCTCCAAATAGCATTGCAACACATGTATCAGCAATTAGCTATGTACATAAATTGTTAGGGATGACCGATCCATCGGACACATTTCTGGTAAAAAGGTCATGCAAGGTTGCCACCATTCGGCCCCCTGTAAAGATTCGAGATTACCCATCACAGGTTCCATTTTACACAAGTAAATACAGGGGCTTCAGTATACTATTTTGAATCAGCATCAAAGAATTCTTTTAAAGTCAGTTTTTCTTCTTGCATTCAATGCATTTCTGCGGTTAGGTGAAGTAGTGGTTAAGTCAAAAAGTCTATCTAGCACAGTTATTCAACGAGAAGATATTTCATTTGTCTTAGATGACAACTCACCCATTGAAGTCTTGATTGTCTTGAGACACTTTAAAACAAATAAAACAAAGGACCTCTTCCAGATCCACTTGAAGGCCTTATAAGACAACATCATGTGCCCCGTGAATGCCTTGTATGAATATGTAAATATGTTTGGTCATCATACTGGGCCTCTTTACCAATTCATTGGGGGAAAACCAGTCCCATATTCCTTTGTAGCTAAACATCTCCAAAATACAATTCAATTCATTGGTCTCAATCCTGCTCTGTACAAAGGCCATAGTTTCAGGATAGGAGCAGCTACACATGCTGCAAGGTTAGGCTTTTCTGAAAACAGTATTCAAAAGATGGGTCGATGGAACTCAGATGCTAATCGTAGGTACGTTCGCCTTGAAAGCTTTGTGATATGAATTTTTGTACATAATACTGTGTATAATTATCTTTGTTTGAATAGTAAGTAAGTACAGGTCAGATGTTAACTGCTGTACTTCAAGAACTCTAAGCCTGTGAGGGGTTTTTAATCCACCAGGTCAGAAGTAAACTGCTGCGGGATTA